ACCTGCCCCAGAACCACCCACGGAGACCCTCGCTGCTGAACGCGACATCGACAGATCTCGGGAAACGCTTAGCAACACCCGGCTCCCGCAAAAACGCCTTCTCCGGGCGCAAATAAATAATAATAATTAATAATAATAATAAAAATAATAATAGCAGAAGGGCGGCGGCGGGCGCGCACCTTGGCCCCGCGGTGCCCCCGGGCGGGATGGGGCCGGGGCCGGCGGGGTGTCCCTCCTCAGCAGGCGCTGGTCTCCGGCGCGGCGGCGGCCGCCTCGGGGGGAGCCTCCCTGGGCTGGGCGGCGGCATGGGGAGGAGGATGCCCGGCGGCGTTGATGTGGCAGCCCGAGGAGAGGTGGCTGCGGACGCGGCCCTGCAGCTGGGTGACCTGGGCGCGGAGGAGGTTGGCGGTGGCGGCCAGCTCGGCGTTCTGCCCCTTGAGCGCCTTCACCTTCTCCTCCAGCCGGGCGATGCGCTCCAGCTTCCGCCGGCGGCACTTGGAGGCGGCGATGCGGTTCCGCAGCCGCTTGCGCTCTGCTTTCAGCCGCTCCTGGCTCTCCGCGTCCAGCGGCGACAGCGACGGCGGCGTCGGCGCGCTGCTACCGCCCTCCCCGCCCGCCGACGGCGGCACCTCGGGCACCGTCTGCGGCTCCTCCAGGGACCGCGCCGGCGGCAGCCGCCCGCTCCCCAGACCCGCCGCGCCGAAGGCCAGGCCCGGCGGCGGCGGCGGCGGGGCGGAGGCGGCGGGGTAGGCGCTGCCCGAGGGGCTCAGCGGCCCCGCGGGGTTGAAGCCGCTCAAGTTGGTGTAGACGGCCGGAGGGTCGGCGGCGGCAGCGGCGGGGGCTCCCGGCGGCCCCGGGCGGGCGGTGCAGCAGGGTCCCGGCGCGGAGAGCGGTGGCGGCGGCGCCAGGAGCTGGTTCTGCTTGTGCAGGTCGGCCAGGGCCTTGACGAAGCCGTCGGCGAAACCCTCTTGCTCCTGCGTCACCGGCTGCCGGTAGAGGAACGGCCCCGCCGCCGCCGCCCCGCCGCTCCCCGCCCCGGGCGCCGCTGGCCCCGGGCTGCCCGCGCCCAGGCCCGCGCCCCCCTGGATCAGCAGCTGCTCCAGGTCGGCGGCCGGCGGCAGCTTCAGCAGCGGCAGCTCAGC